TGCTGGCTGACAGCGCATCGGGACAGCCTATCGTCGGAATCTCTGGGATATAAAAGCGGCAGTCGCTGAACAACTCTTCGCAGACCAGCGGAATGCATCGCCACGAAAACGAAGTTTTAAATTTTTGTAAGTAAGATTTCATATTCACTCACTTACTATTTGTAAGTGCGTGGGTGTGCATTTCGCTGGTATGCTTTTTTCTTTTTTTCTTTTTCTTTTTTTGCTTTTTTGTTTTTTGTTTGGTGCTTTCACGAAGGTGGCTGAAAAAAGTGACTGTCTCTCTTGCCTGAAAAAAAAAAATGGACATGATGCTGCATGTAATAAGTGTTCGGAGTGCGCAAATTATTACCACATGGGCAAGTGTTCTGGACTGACAAAAATGTTATGAAGTCAATGAACGACGTAGAAATTTCCGAGTGGCAATGTAACACCTACAAGTTGTATTCCCAACGACAGTCTGCGACTCCCGAGGTATCTCAAGGGGCGTCAGAGCTGACCCCAAATGAGGAAAAACTTGAAAGGTTACTCAAACAAAATGAATCTATCAGTGCAAAGTTGACCTCCGTCCTTAATAGGATGTCTTGCATTGAGAGGTCTCTCGAGGCGCAGACTGCGGGGTCTGACGCGATGATGCTCAAAATAGAAAATCAGAGTAAAACAATAGCAGGAATCGAGGCAGCCATGAATGATCTGACAGCAAGGTATGAGGAATTGAACGTTCATTTGGATAACCAAGACAAAACAATAAATGAATTACAGCGGAAAATCGGTGAACTAGAGGGAAGGATTTCACAAAGGGATGAAGAGGTTGGCGAACTAAGAAAGGCTATCGACAATGCAGAGCTGTACTCTAGACGCCAGAATATTTAAATCCATGGTAGAGTACAACAACCGAATGAAGATGTTATGAGCGTAATCAACACAGTGGCAACGAAGCTGGACCTAGCACCAGTGACTTCGAATCACATCGAGGCTGCCCACAGGCTAAACGCTAAAGAAAGAAGAATCGCAACTATATTAGTGAGATTCACTGAGAGGCGTACAAGGGACTTGGGGGTGAGAAAAAGAACTACTCTGAGAAATGAGAACATTTATACGAATGCAAACTTGACTAGAGCACTAAAAAGTTTGTTGTGGTCCACCAAGGCACGTGCGAAGGAAAAAGGGTACATGTATACTTGGATGAAGAACGGAAAAATATTCGTAAGGCAGAAGGAGGGAGCGGCTGTGGTTCAGATTGAGAGCGAACGAGACTTAATCAAAATTAGGTAATCATAGAATCGCTTTTCGAATCGTTCCGTGAGTGGGACGCATATGCGAAACGTTCTAGGGCGGAAAGAAGTAACGCTGCCACTAAACTAAGCTTAATTCATGTAAATGTTAGGAGTATTTACAGACATTGGAATCAGTTAATGTTAATTTTAACTACGCGACTACCAAGTTTGGACGTACTTATCTTGAGTGAGGTCAGTGCTGATGAGACAGGTTGCGCTACATTTTCCTTGCCAGGCTTTCATTTTTTCTGCTTGTGGCGAGAACAAAGGAAAAGTGGCGGAATTATGATGTACATAAATGACAAATGCTGATCAGAAAAAATAGACGTTTCATTTGCACAAGCAGAAGTGTGTGCTGCTATTGTTCACAAAATTAATTTTTCTACCTTTCTTACGTTGTGTGTGCTGTATACAGGCCACCCTGTTCAAATATACCTATATTCCGTAATGAATTAGAACAATTTCTTCAAAAATTTAATAACAACAAATATCTAGTTCTGGCAGGAGACTTCATCATGGATGTTCTGAATGAGAATAAACAGAGAGTACCGCGTTATTTTACGAGGGAGGAATATTATGGTAATAAAATTACAAAATCATGTATTGACCACATAGTTATAAGAATTAGTCATTTGAAAACACTGTCTGGAGTCATTAAGCAAAAGGTAGCTGACCATTACACTACTGTACTCTCAATATTAGGCGAAATTACTGCTCAACATGTAGATTCAGAAAATGGGTACAAAGCTATACTAGATACTAAAAAAATCGATAACTTAATACAACCGTTCGATTGGAATTCTTTATGAGAGTTCGATCACATTGCAGCCTATGACAAACTAGTGGACACGTTTCAGGATAATTATTCCAAAGGTACCAGAAAAATAAAGTTGAAGAAACGAAAACCTGAGAATGTTTGGATAAACGAGAAAATATTAGATTTGTGTGATCGAAAGGAAAGGCTTTGGAGCAGATTTAAGCAAGATCACGAAAACACAAAACTAAGAATTGAATTTCGTGCAGTGCGCAATAAAGTGACTGCAAAAATACGTTTAGAAAAAGGGAAGCATTATTTAAATCAGTTCACCTCCTCCAGAAGAAATATAAAAAGAGACATGGAACCTAGTAAACCAATTAACTGGTAGAAAGTCTAAAAATAGCGTGGATGATACAATTAAAAAAGAACTTTCCTGCATTAGGCTCTTATTTAACGTTATCGAAATCATTTAATAATTCTTTTGTTGACTCCGTAAGAAGCATAAAAATAACATTTCACTGATTCCCAATCCATGCTCTAGTTCGGCGTACTTACCTCAGATGACGGAGAGCGAACTTTTGAGGATCATAAATGCTATGCCAATAACTAAAACACCAGGATTTGAAAATATTAAAGTACGAGATATTCGGTACAATTCTGATAAATTAAAACACGTTTTAATAAAAATAATTAATGACACCGTTCATACCGGAAGAATTCCTAAGGGCTTGAAGATATCTATTATACGTCCACTGTATAAAAAGGGTAAAAAAGAGGAATGCGAGAGCTACGGACCCATTTCCTTTCTACCTGCATTAGCTCATATAAACGAAAAGTGGGTACAACTAACAATGACCAGTTTTTGTGATAAATATAATATATTTTCTAGTACGCAATATGGTTTTCGACAGCAAAAAAGTACTATTATACTTTTAGAAGATTTTTCTGACTGTGTTAGCGAAGTACTAGACAATAACAAGATTGCCCCGGCACTTTTTTTAGATCTATTTGATACCATTTGATACCTTTTGATACCATTGATCATTCTCTGTTACTTGAAAAGCTTTACAGACTAGGTTTCAGGCGATAGTTTTATAACTTTTTCAGAGCTACTTTAGCGAGACTACAAATGGTTAAAATTATAAATAACATAAGTAGTGCATCTCAAGTCCAATCTGGTGTACCACAAGGTAGCACTCTGGGACCAATTTTATTTAACGTTTACATAAATGATTTAGGTATTCTACCTCTACAAGCTAAGCTATTTCAGTATGCTGACGATACGGTGCTAGTTTTACTCTATGAAAACTATGATGATGCTGTTTTAGTCTTCCAAAGAGATATAAATGAACTAATAGGTTGGTTTAACTCAATTGCCATTTCACTAAATTTTGCCAAAACTAAGTTACTGTGTTTCCGAAATTCTCATAAACGTGTTGATATGTCACCTAGAATTTTACTTCATTCGACACCGTGTAATAATTGTACTTGTAAACCTTTGCCATACGGTAATTGTGTAAAATATCTAGGGGTGTACGTGGACGAATATTTATTATGGAATCAACATGTGGAATTTGTTACTAAAGACTACGTGCCGTTTCAGCATATCTGCACAAAATAAGAAGCTTGTGCAGCGTAAAGATTAGACTACTGGTGTACACGTCGTTAGCTGAATCAATTCTACGATATGGAATCACTTTATATGGGCACTGTTCTCCATACAAGACAAATGCAATAGACAGAATTTTAAAACATATGATGAAAAACATTACATACGGAACTCCATACCGAACATTAGATATGGAAGATAAAGCAAAGAAACTCAAAATTTTATTCTTTAAAAATTTTCATAGATATGTTACATTTATAAATTATTTCTACGATTCAACGTTAAAGGTTCCAGTGGACAAGCCTAGGGACCTAAGGCGCAAAGAAAGGTTTCAAATCCCCAGAATTTACACGCGATACGGAAAAAGATGCAGAACTCACTTTATTCCCACCTTATTTAATGAGCTCACTGAGCCTTTAATGAAAATAAATTTGATAAAAGTACTAAAAAATAAAAAATTGGTGCCTCTCATTACCTCCATAAGCACTGCTTTACTCCCATCACTGTATACTTGCCTCTTCTTAATGATTTCGATAGTAGTGTTCATTTTCTTTTGTGCCGAATTTTGGCTCTGATTTGTATTATGTTGGTATCAATGGCCACATTATACTCGTTCGATTTTTTATCATAATGTATTGATATGTATTTCGCTGGATTGTCTGGTCCTACGCACAAGCAGGAAACTGCTTTTGCGGGCCAGCTATTTTTATGTATCTGTAAAGTGAATAAAACATTATTATTATTATTATTATTATTATTATTATTATTATTATTATTATTATTATTATTAAGTTCCCAAAAGCGGCCGTTGCATCTTAACTGCTCTGCAAATTTGAACTGGCAATCACTACAGCTCGAGACATATGAACCCAGTGAGCATTCACGGACTCAAGTGAAACGCCGACTTCATCACAAGCAGAAGCCTCGCTAGAAATTCGTTCACTACACCTTGATCGGACGCGGGCTCCATCGGTAAGCCTACTACCCGCAATGAATTCTCTCGGTGACTGTTCGGTGTGCTTGAAACCTGTCCCATCAGATGGTAAATTCATGACGTGTGGTGCCTGCAAGAGTCTTTACCACTTGGGGTCTTGTGCCGGAATAAAAGAATCAACCTTCGGCGCGATGGGCCAAGAAAGAAGAGAGAAATGGCGCTGCCGGTCTTGCCGTTCTGTCGACTCCAGTTCGACGCAGGGAAGTGTGTTTGAGGAACCTCAAGGCATCTGTGCATCCGAGGAACTTCTCAGCGCGGTCAATACCAAGTTGGACTTATTGGTCTCTCTCAAGGCGAACGTCGACACTCTCCTCACACTTCCTTCCAAGGTCGATGAGCTGCTAACTTTGAAGCCGGCAGTTCAAAATGCAAGAAACAGTCAAGACACTTCAACAATCTATTGACGACCTTTCATTGAAATATGACTCGGTGCTTGCTAAGGCAACCGAAAACGAAAAGAACACCGAAGCACTCCAGGTCCGGTTGGCTGAGGTGTGCAGTGTTGTGGACGAACAATCGCGTACTACCCAGCGACTGCAGGGAGACTTGAACCACTTGGAGCAGCGGAGTCGGTCGACAAACCTGGAAATCCACGGACTGCCATGCCACAAGGATGAAAACTTGGAACGAATCATCGCCGATCTTGGAGACAAATTAGATTTGCCTCCACTCCAAGCAGGAGACGTCCTTGCCATCCACCGTCTTGCAACGAAGCCCGGCCCTGCGTCCCCAGTTTTGATAAGGTTTGCGTCCGTGAAGGTGTACGATGAATGGATGAGCCGTCGCGTACGATTGAGCTCACTTTATAATTCAGGTAAACTGCCGAAGGTTTACTTTAACGAAAACCTGACTCGAGCAAACAGAGAATTATTCTGGATGGCCAGGTCAAAAGCCAAGGAAGTGCTATTTAAATATGTCTGGGTAAAGGGAGGGAAAATTTTTGCGAAAAAAGAACAAGGCTCAGCGCTAGTCAGGGTAAACACAATCAACGACCTTGAGAATATAAGCTAAAGTAATGTCGACAAATTTTCAAGAATGTGGAGATTTCAAGGTTTTCAAACAGGGGCTCAATATAAAGAGCCAACTTTTCTTGGTATTACACGTGAACATTAGAAGCATAAGGAAATCTTGGAGCCTCTTCAACCTTCTTGTTAAGGACGTGACAGCAAACACGGACATTTTTGTACTTACCGAGACTAATGTGTCTGAGGATTGGTGGGATCTGTTTAAATTAGCTGGCTATAATTCCTTCTGGTTTTCGCGGTCAAATGTGGGGGGTGGGGGGATCGCGGTTTTCATTAAAAACAAATGGCTAGTTTCTAAACTCGACATCTCTTTTTCTCATGCAGAAACGATTGCGCTTAAAATTGAGAATTCCAATTTTATTTTTTTTATTTTAGCATGTTATAGGCCTCCTTCGCAAAGCGTTAGAAGTTTTCTAGAAGAATTGAAAAAAAACACTCAATGAAATGCATAACAGGGGTTTATTTTGCTTGGTTGGCGATATTAACATCGATGTAGCGAAACAGGAACGATCTGATGTGTGTGATTATTTAAACATTCTTGCAAACGAGGGTATTGAAAGCACTATTAAAGCTCCTACAAGAGAAGAGATAATATCAGGTAAACTAGTCACGTCCTGCATCGATCATATCTGCGTTCGAGCTGAGAATACCGTTACAAATTCATCAGTTATCACGGAAAAAATGGCCGATCATTATTTTGTAGGATGTCAGTTTGTAAACTCTGGGGAGACAAAGCCTGAAGCCGAAACAAAGCAAATAGAAATTATCGATAATGTAAAACTAGATCGCCTCGTTTCGACATTTGATTGGATCTCATTTCGCAAGTCCACATCCCAATCCGACCTGTACACAAAGTTCACACAGATCATTAATTCTTTCACAGAGAAATGTAAACGAACAGTTAGAAGAAAAAAACGAAGACCGGATCACGCATGGTTGAACACGGAGGTACTTACCGCCCTAAAAGCAAAATAACTCGCTTGGGCACGGAGTCGGCGGGCACCAGAGAATAATAAACTTCGTTCTGAATTTAGGATCGCCAGGAACAGAGCTAATGCTATGCTTCGACTGGCGAAAAGAAAGCACTTCAAGAACAAGTTTGAAAAGGCGCGCTTTAGCTCTTCAGAGACATGGTCACTTGTTAATACTGTTCGTGGTCATCAGCGAAAGCCATCCGTGGATGACGTTGTAAAAAAACATTTCGGTAACAAATTGAGAGATATTGTTGAACGATTCAATTCCTACTTTGTTAGATCCCCTTCTGCTCCAGAAAGAGTTGGTATTTCGGAAGCAGTAATAGAGATGAACGCAACCTCCGCTTTTCTTTATCCCATGAGCTTGGACGATTTACGTTCGATTTTTTTCAGCATTAAGCGCACAAGGTCTCCAGGCGTGGATCGTATAACTCTTGGTTGTCTTCAAAGAAACTTCAGATATCTGCAGGATACACTTCTTTTCATGTTAAACGGATTTATCGAATTGGGCGTGATCCCCAATGAGCTTAAGACTGCTTTAGTGCGACCGATTTTCAAAGGCGGGGATCCAAAAAAGGTAGAAAACTACCGCCCGATTTCGATTTTGCCCGTGCTAGAACATGTTTTTGAGAAACACATTTTCCATATAATGACCAGTTTCATTGATCAGTGTTCGCTGTTTTCTTCTAGGCAATATGGGTTTATTTCTGGGAGTGGTACGCAGTTACTTTTAGAGGATGTAGCTGACAAAATTTACTCTGGTTTTGAGGGCAACATGTTTTCATGTGCCGTTTTTCTAGACGTCAGCAAGGCCTTCGACACGGTAAATCATGAGATATTATTAGAGAAGCTTTGGAGGGTCGGTTTCCGTGGACCTTTTCACTCGCTCTTGAAAAATCTGTTAGAAGGTAGGGCCCAGGTGGTTTCTATAGATAAAGTTAATAGCTCAACCCAGTTGCTCGAAACCGGCGTCCCTCAGGGTTCGGTGCTATCCCCATTACTTTTTAATGTTTATGTAAATGACCTAGAAACTGTTATTTCTGGATGTGATATTTTTCAGTATGCCGACGACACCTTTCTTGTTTCACGACACATCAATTTCGAAAAGGCGGTTCACGCTCTGCAGTTAAATGGGCTTAAAGTTATGGACTCGTATGCGGCCAACCGTATAAGAGTTAACCCATTAAAAACTAAACTCGTCTGTTTCTGTAATCCCCTGAAACCCGGATTCTCCAATGCCCCTTTTCTTCTACACAGTTCTGGTTGCAAACTTTGTTGTTGTAAGCCTGTTCCCTGGGTGGACTATACAAGATATATGGGTCTGATTCTTGAATATGATATGTCGTGGAACAAACAAATGGCACATATGTGTTGTGTGCTAAGGAGAGTTACATGTATGTTGTATAATATGAGATTGTTTGTTCCTTTTAAGGTTAGAAAACCGATTGTCCATGCGCTTGCATACAGTGTACTGCGATATGGGGTGACGCTACATGCCTATTGCACAACATCTTGGCACTCTAACATTGACAGCATTTTGAAAGGAATTTTGCGAAGTGTAGCGTATAACTCATGTTCTTCATCCAGTGATGATTTTTTTTAGAGATTTGCAGATGCCAAGATTACGTAGTTTGTATACTGAAACTGTTGTGCTACGCCATTTTCGGAGTGAAAGTTTTAAAACAGTTCATACACCATCGCGCCTCCTCAGAACGTCTCCTCGGTATGAAGTGCAAAGATGTGTCACCAGATATGGAAAACGAATGCGGTCGTTTTACGTGTCAGACAGTTTTAATACCCTTCCTGAAGACATTTTCAGTGTTACTGGCAAAGGAGAGTTGAAGAAGTGGCTTCGTCATTATGCTTGTGAAAGCTAATTATTGTGCTGTTGTCGTTTTGAGTTGAATTGGGATGCTGGTTAGTTGAAGCTCATGATCGTGTGTTTGCTTCTATGTGCGTTCTTCATTATTTTCTCGCTTATGTATATTTTTTTTTTGTTTTTGTTTTGGATTTGACTTGGGAAGCTGGTTAGCCGAAGCCTTGTGTACGTGTTTGTTTATTCTTGTGTTCTTTTTTTCGCCTATGCGAATTTGCTGGGTCCAGTCCTACAAGCCATTGTCGGCTTAGACGGACCCGTCATTTGACATACCGAAAGCGTTGTGTGAATAAAAAGATTATTATTATTATTATTATTATTATTATTATTATTATTATTATTATTATTACTGACTTTTCTATATTTTGTATAACGGAAACCTGGTTATGCCCAGAAATACTGTCTGGGGAGTATTTTTCGTCGGATTTCCTTGTGCATCGCAGTGATCGTGATTTATCTCGCGGAAAGAAAACGGGAGGCGGTGTCTTGATGGCAATCGATAGGTCTTTGAAGTGCACCAGGCGCGCCGATTTAGAGACTTATTCGGAATCTGTGTGGGTAGAGCTGGAGTGTGATAATCGAGAACGCGTTCTGATAGGTACTTTTTATTTTCCTCCATACATTGAACCCGAGGAGTTTAATGATTGTCTCCTTGGAATTGAGGATATAGCAGACAAACTGGGTGAATGCAAACTATTAGTAATTGGCGATTTTAATGTACCAGGTGTGTGCTGGGAAACTCACAGTGCTGTTTCAAGTAACTATTACGGTGCAAAGAAGGCCGGTCATCTTGTTGACTTTGCCTCTTTCATGGCCCTGAATCAGTTCAGCAGGGTTAAAAATGGTAAAGGCGCTATGCTTGACCTTTGTTTCTCAAACATTGATAACGTTTCTGTAACTAAGAGTGAATTTCCTTTAGTACCGACAGACAAATATCACCCTGCACTTGAGGTGGCTATAACCTTGAATGTACCTGTCAGCCGTATACCGGCTGCTAGTCTCACTTACCTAGACAAACTGCATAACTTCGCTGCTGGTGACTATGTGGGATTATATAACCACTTTTCTACGTTCGACTGGTCCCCTATCCTGCAATCATCTGACGTCAATTATCAGGTTCTTCAATTCACCACGGCGGTGCAGGAGGGAATGGATCATTACATTCCTCTAAAGAAGCATACCAATTCAAAATTTCCCTCGTGGTTTTCTCCGTATTTAAAAAAGTTGCTGAAGAAAAAAAGCTTCTCTCATCGCAAATTTAAAAAGACTGGCAGTCTCAGGTGGGAGGCTGAGTTCGTTCATTATAGACGCCTATGTAAGCAACATCAGAGGATTGATCATAAGATATATGTGGAGTCAGTGGAGTCCGAATTGAGGAGAAACCCAAGAAAACTCTACCGACATGTTCGTTCTCGAGGAGGAAAATTGATACATCCTGATATTATACTTAATGAGGAGAATGTGACCACGTCCAGTGTATGCGATATATTCGCGCGTCATTTCAGTTCTGTATATAAACACAATAGGAGTGGGTACCGACAGCCGCCATCCCCTAGCGTGAACGAATCCGTTTCCTCCCTGCCTGTGGATGAGGTAATGATTCAGGAATGCATAAAAAAACTGAGGCCTACCATGTCCACAGGTCACGATGGTATTCCAGCAACACTTGTAAAAGCATTTCACGAAATTTTTACGCCCATCCTTTATGATATTTTCAACAACTCCTTAAGAGCAGGAGTGTTCCCTGATATGTGGAGGAAGTCAGTCGTAGTCCCAGTCTACAAGTCTGGAAGTCGTACCACTGCATCAAACTACAGGCCAGTGTCTCTGCTGTGTACATTTTCGAAGCTTTTCGAAATGGTGGTCCACAAAACATTGTCCTTTCGTTTAAAAAATGTATTAAGTTCCAACCAACACGGATTTGTAGCAGGACGCTCGACAACAACAAATTTAATTTCATTTATGTCCATTGCATCCAAAGTTGTGTGCCAAAGAGGCCAGCTCGACGTGGTCTACTTTGATCTGAGTAAGGCGTTTGATGTGGTTGACCATGACATTCTTTTATCAAAACTTTGTGGTATTGGTGTCTGTGGAAAGCTACACAACTGGTTTCAGAATTATTTGTCTAATAGAACA